ATTATTTAATGGACTAAGTATGATTGTTTTGCATTTAAAACGTGATCTTTTGTAGTTCACTAGAAAGTCAGGTGAGAAAATTAATTTGTTATTATTCCACAAGTTTCTTACTTTTTAACTTTTTGGATTTTTTTGTTCAACAGCAGGTTATGTTTCTATTTACATTGGACCCGATAAAACATAATGTATACCTAGCTAATGAATTTAAAAAAGTTTCATATTAAGAAATTGAGTTCTCATGGAAATAGCTTGCATTTGGTTTCCTTATGAACCATTTAAAAAAACGAAACAAAAATTTGAGAGGATAGTGATAAGTCTAAACCAATGTTTATGGTTTTTTTTTTAACTTTTAGTTTTCATTCTATTTTTCTCCTTATTTATATGATTTAGTTTTCATTTTTTTTGGCTCATGGTATAGGTGTGATGATATCGATAATTAAAAAAAAAGTTAATTTTTTTAATATTTTGGTTAGGTTTCTTTTATGGTCATTTATTATTCGTCATAGTATTTGTTGATTTTTTTTTCATGAATTATAATACTATGAGGCTGGCTATAATTTACAAAAAACTTACTTATGGAAAGTTATTCATTGATCCATGAAGTTGGTCATGATTGTGATGACAAGATATTGGTACTAATTCAACAAATTCTGTGAAGTTTTTGGGCCCCATTTCTAAACTAGAAGCTATTTATGTGTCCCAAAATTCTGTAACAATTGAGTTGCTTGCTGAAAGAGGACATATTTGTTTCAAACATTGTATTTTTCTATTTGGATCACCCTAAAATATTGTATCATATTTGGTTACAGTTTCACATGTTAAAACATAAATTGTCAAACAAATTCAATTTCAAACTTATTTCATTCATTTCTCTGTTTTGCACTCTTATAAAGCATTTTTTTTTGTCTAACTAGATTATTGACTTTTGTCATAAGGTTAGGATGGAATTGATCTAACGATGAATTTAAATGAAAATAAATCTAAAGCAAAAGATGATGACTTGGATGATATTGTATTTTACTTTCTTTGAAACTTTTCCTAATTAATGTTTTCATTATATATAACTAAATTGAATACGTTTTAATAAACATGAGTTTTAGGGTGTTGACCTATAGCATGTATTACATGTCAATTGTGTGTTGGACATCAAGCTCCAAAATGCAGCTAACTTAACTTCTTTATTTCTTTGTTAATATTAGGCTTTGATAGTTTTATATCTTTTATTAATTTTAATTTGGTCTCAGATACTTCTATTTTTCAATTATGTCATTTAGGTATTCAATGAGCATTATGTGGCAACGCTAAAACGAAGTGAAGCATTCACAATTAAAGAGGGAAGAGAGATCCAACAGGCAAGTACTCATAAGGAGTTTTTTGTATGATAGTCGAGGTATAAGTTTCCTTATCTTTTGTTTTTTATTTCAAGTATAAATGCTAAATGTCATTAAACAAAACAATTTAGTGTTCTTATTGTTATTTGTGATAAATAAAACCAAAATGAATGTGAAGGCTATAAATGATGGTGTTAATTTGAATATATGTTTAATGTTGATGTCAAGACCCAAATTGCTAATACATTTGACATTGAGGCTCCATTTTTTTCTTAAAAAATGATTTTCAAAAAATGATTTTTATATTTTTAAGTGTTTGTTTGATAGAAAACTGATTAATTAATGAAAATGGACTTATTGGTTAATAGAAAATAAGGTAATTTTTTAAAAAATTATCTTACTCTTTTGAAAAAAAAAAGATAATTTTCGAAAAAGATCTGTTTATGAGTAGAACTATATATCAATGTGTTGAATTATAATTTTACTTAAGTTGGACTTTGCACATGATTTTTTTTAAGCTAAAATTTAATTTGACTTGACCCAAAATATTGTTATATTAATAAATAATATTTTATTTAATTTTATTAAAAAATTAAAATAATAATATTAAAAGTCTTTTAATATTTTAATTTTAAATATTTTTATAGTTTTACTAAAGTAAGATTTGAACATAATATTTTAAGCTCAAGCTTGATTTGATTCGACTTAAAATATTATTATATTAATAAAAATATTTTATTTAATTTTAATTAAAAATTAAAATGCTACCTTTAAAAGTCTTTTGTTTTAAATATTTATATTTTATATATTATTAAACATAAATATTTTTAGTATTTCAATAATAAATAGTATTATATTATTATTTTAATAATATATAATAATATATAATAATATGTTTATTATTTTAATAATTAATTTTAAATAATATAATAATATTATTTTCTTAATATGGAAATTTTTAATAATTTCTTATTATTTTTTAGTTTAAAATATATAATTTTATATTTTTATTTATTAAGATATTTATATTACTATTTTAATAATACATATAAATAAAAAATTTTATTATAATTTAATAATAAATACTTTCAATAGAAAATATAAATATTTCAATAAAAAATATAAATATTTTTTAAAAATCAATTTTAACAAAGCAAACGGAGTTTGAACCTCCCAACAATGTACGAGTTTCATGGTAATAAGAATAATAGTAGTCATTAATATCACTCCTTATTACCTAATATAAAGTGGTATAAATAAGAAATGAGTATGTAAACAATGGGAAAAATAATAGTTGTTACTTGATATCAAATCAATGTAAAAGTAATGCATAAAAATCGACAACTTACTAATAAATATGTGTAACTGTTTTTGAGAAAAAAGAAGTTGATTGATTTTAAGAGATCATTACATCAGCTGCAACAACATGATCAATCATAGAAGGACATTAGCATTCCTCTATCCAATACATACTGGATCTATGTTCGTAAGTGCATGTTTTGCCAGCAAGGCTGCTGCTTCATTAGCATCTCTGCTCTTGGTCTGGGCCACTTTGCTTGTCTGAAAACATCCCATTAACATCTTAGCATCATCAATTTGCTAGGTTTACAATAGAGGATAGGCTTCTTATCTTGGAGTTTAGCTGGTTTAGTCACCTTCTGGAATTATAATTAAATTGAAACCCCATGTCCTTTGTAAATTCTATTGCCTTAAGATCCGCTTCACATTCCATTTCTTTAATTACCTAAAACAAATCTTTCACGGTCTCTGATGATCATTTCTTTCTTTTTTGAAATTATTGAAATAACAATATGAAATAAACTATTTTTAATAAAATATATAATCTATTTAAATAAAGATATAAGCATATTGTATTTGTCATATAAAAATAAAATAGTTAGGGTTTTTATAAGAAATAAAATAATAAAATCAATTTTTACATTCATTATAAGAAATTGGCAACAATTATATATTTTTATTATCATGAAATTAATAATTGATTGATATGCTTTTATTTAAAACTTTATATATGATTTTATCAATTATATAATAATTAAATATTTGATATGTATTATTTATTTATATATTTATTTTATTCAATTAAGAGTAAACTCTTACGCCACACTATTTATTTTCATTTATTAAGAACCCTTTTGTGGCTATTTTTTTCGTTTTCGTTTTCTATTATTTTGTCTTCTTTTCATTTTTTTTTTATTTTCTTCTTTTTCTTAATAGTTTAAAGGAAAGCCTTGGGCTCGACTTATAAATGAAATTAAATGCTAAATTTAAAATTAAATATTTTTGTAATTATTTAATTTAAAATTAAACGATTTAATTTATATAAATAAAGTTTTAATGTTATCAATTTATAATTTATAATAATGTAAGATTTTTTTTTAATAGGTAAGAGATATCTACAGTTAATTTTAACATAGTGCAGTTAATTTTAACATAGTGAAATTAAGTTTTTTACATGAAATGACAAATGAAAAGGCTCTTGCCTTTCTTTTTTTTTTTTTTTTTTAATAAATTTTTTCGTAAGTTTATTTTTTTTCTCTTCTTCGTTATCCTTTCTATTCAAAACTGAGAGAACTTAAAGTTTACTGTAAGTTTCAATTTTACTGAAATTAGGGAAGGAAATTGAAAAAAGAAAGAAAATTGAAATGCAGTAGAGAAAAAATTTCAAAAAAAAAAAAAAAACGAAGCATCCAAGAAGATGAAAGAGATGAACCCGCCGCCAAATTAAATGACGAAGAAGACAAAAGGTAATCTCTTTTTTCCCTTTTTAATTAAGTTATGGGTTTTCTTTTAAATTTTTTGTTTTAGAATTTTAAGTTGGAAATAGAAGAAAAAATAAAAATGAGTTAAAAAAATTTGGAATGTATAAATTGACATTAAAGAAAGTGACATTCTTGCAGAAATAGAGAAATAGAGGGAGAGGCAATCAAGAATCCCTGCAATTCTCATGGTGTAAACCGAAAGCATTGTCACTAAAGTTACTAAAAAGGACGAACTTGATGGAGAAAACGAGCTTGTTCTTCAGGACACCTTAGCTCAAGAAACTTCTGCCTTGGTTGGAAATCAAACATAATATTAAATTTTGAGATTTTTTATAACAAAAATTTATCCGGGTTAACAATGAATTTTATACCTAAATGTTACTTTAGGATAGTGCAAATATGTTTTAATAACTTTTCTTTTATATAGTTTGACAATATTTGATAAATATATTTATTTTTTTAAACCAATATTGGAAAAAAAAAAACCAAATCAACATTAAAACATCATATCACAACACGTATTTTTCACATCTAAATTTTTGTTAAAAAAAATTCTTATATTATTACAAACCAATAACATTATATTCTTATTTATATAAATTAAAATGTTTAATTTTGAATTAAACAACTATCTAAACATTTAATCTCAAATTATGCATTTAACCAGACAAATGGTAGTTAATTGAACCACCGAATGTCAATTAGACTAAATAGGGTATACTGCTTACTACGCTGCAGTGAGCAGCTAGATATATATATATATATATATATATATATATATATATATCCTATCTTCCTTCTAACTCCCTCCATTTCCCACTCTTTTTTTTTTAGGGAGTGGGGGGGGAGGGGGGTGGTCTATTTCTTACTTTGAACTAAACCGCAGACAGAATTATTACCAGATATATGAGAAAGCTACTGCTGTCCGTTATTCTGCTATGTCAAAACAAGAATATGCTGCAAACTTCACTCCATTTCTGTTTTGAAGCTAAGAAAAATAGAATACTTTCAAAATTGTCTCAAAATCTACAGGGCTCCCTATATGAGAATAATGTAAAGACATGTTTATACAGATGATCCCATCCCAACATTCTTCAGATTGGCATGTTTTGCAATCTTATATGCTTGTACTTTTGTGCGGTGTTGAAGCATCTTGCACTCTCTGTCAACCCTTTAGATAAAACAAGCTTCAATCCATCAACTCCCTCTTGCAAAGCCGTATCAATCTTGTCCAGTCCAACAACAAAAGATTAAAAATAAATAGTAATTAGGCAACGAAAATAATGCTCAAAAGTCTATTACCACATCTTCCTCTCACACCACCTAAATAGATGCTCTGCCATCTATTCACTTCCTAACAGATATGTTTGAGTTCAAAAGCATTATTACAAGTTCAGTTTTAAATTTTAAACCATGTCTTTTTCGTAAAAGCAACATTTAAAAAAGTCGGGTATGAAATTAAAGATGAAAAGGTCAAGCAATAACAGGTTGAACAACTTAAAATAGGTTATAATAAAATATTAAAGGCCAGAAAGAACAAAACAGATAATTTGCAACAACAGATACACACCTAGGATCATGTAAATCTAAACATTAGAATCCCTGTGTGCATGTCTGACCGGTTTCTTCCCCTAGTCTACATGGCAATAAAGAAGGCATGCTTCACATTCACAATTAGAGCGGGAAAACACACTGGAATATCAATATGTATCAGTGTTGTCGAGAGCGCAAGGTGCACTCTAAGCATTAGGACCCTTGTATTGCCTGACACGTAAGGCACAAAAATGGTGTTTGCCCACATGAAGTGACTAATTTTAGAAGATAATTAATATATACAGGACAAAGAAAACCGTATGTATTCTGTCTAATAAGCTAAAAATATGAGTTTGTTAATAAACATTAAAGAGTTTTCTCCATTAAACTTCAATCGAGAGTGATTTTTTCGCACCTTTCGCATGGAAAAATGCACCAAGGCACAAAAGGCGTGCCTCTGATAAAAGATGTCTCGCTTGAAGGGAAGCAAGGCACTATCTATTTTCTTTCTCTCTTTTCATTTGTTTTCTAGCAACCAACTTTCGGCTTGATATGGGTCCCACAACATTGAATCAGTGGCCCTAATACCCTGCCAGTTTCATCCAGCATTGACAGCCAAGACTAGATCCAAAACCAACCTGCCAGGGCAAAAAATGTCCTCAACATGCCGGATTAGGTTAGCTGGCGCTAGATTAAATACAAAGCAGGCTGGCCACAAAGCCTTGATTTTGACATATTTGGCCAAGCCGCTGCCATCTGAGATCTGGCCAGTTAGATAAGTCTGGCAGTGGTGAGCTACTGGGAACTAGGAATAAGAAAAGAAAGGGATAAAAGAGAGGAAAACTGAAGTAATGTTTTTTAATTTTAATTCATTGTCTGCTTGGACATTTAATTTATTCATAATTATTTAACTTAATATTTTGCCAACTAAAATTTTTAAGCGAATATTCCATATCCGGTAACTCCCATTGCTCGATTGTACTAAATTTAGACAGTTAATTATATTTTTGGGTAAAGTTCTAATACAAAATCAGGTATTATACCAATACTTTTAAGAACAAGATGTGGATTCCTTAAGATAATAAGTTAATTATGGCCAAACAAGATCAAGCAAAATGTTAATTCTTACTCGTTCTCGAGCCGATGCATTAAACTTTTGCAGCAAGAATGCCTTAGGATCCATCTGACCTGGCGGCCTACCAATACCTAACAAACAAATCATAATGATTAAGCTCCTACTCAATCAAGAAATAGAGCAGCTAGGAACCAAATACATAATATTAGATTTCAAACCAACCAATTCGTAGCCGTACAAACTCTCTGTTTCCCCGAAAATGATAGATTATACTCTTCAGCCTAGTAAAAATAAGCAATAGTGAAATAATTTCTGAAAAAAAAAAGGAACAAAAACAGCAAATATGTAATTAAATAACCAAGAATAACCCACATATTGGAAACTAAGAGACCTTGAACATACACCAATATGGTGACTTCCACATGCAGAAATTTATTTCTCTTTCCCCTTCTACTTTTCTTTCCTTGAACAAGACATAGTTTTTCCCTTCATATTCACTAGAATATTGTTCTAGTATCCAAGAATATTTTGTTCATGTAGGGAATTAAGATACGTCTATTTACTTGGCAATTAAAATCTAGCTGCTTCGACTAATACCCAACACATCTAGAATGTTCAGATACCTTGAAGATAATAAACCAGTTGAAAAACTAGAATGTTTAGATTCACTAGCAAACTCAATCAAGATCGTTACAGTGAGTGTTAGAAACAGATCTTTAAGACTCATATTAATAAGTGGCAAAATCAAAATAACGCATGCAAAGTTCAGCCACAGTGGTGTCAATAACCATCAACACAAACACATGTTTGATCATTGTTGCAAATGACAAGCATTATTTCATTTAAAAAGAAATATATTGTTTTTGCAGCACTAATTTAGGTCCAATAGCACAAAAATCTCAGCAGTAATCAATTTAGGAATTACAAAAATAGCTCAAACAGTATTTAGACACTAAGTGTCTGGTGCTGAGAACAGGGCAGAACTTGACTGCCAAGCAGCTTGTTACTGTCTAGCTACCCTATAGTTTTTTGGAGGAGATAGTTGAAACCCACAAGACCAACACTAAACTTGGGCATAGAATAGATTGATGGCAAAGACCTACGATCAAAACTAATTACCACAAAAGAGAGAACTACTTTAACAAATGACCTTTGAGGGCTTTTTCACTTCATATAGTTCACCTAATGATAACCACACACATCAACTTCTTTGCCCCCTTTTGTTCCTTTCTTTCAACCACTTGTTTAGGGAAGCAAATGTTTATTTGGCAACCACGTTGGATCCATCCCCATTTGAAATTGGAGCTTTTTATTTGGCAATAGTAGCCATGGGGCTGTTGATCCGCCCTCAAGAGGATTGATCATTCAAGGGTTTTCAAGTTATTTTTGCTTATGTTTGCAAATGGATGAATCTTATTATTGAGGGGATCAATCTCTTTTTTGTCAGCAGTAATAAAATAGTGGAAATTTAATAGTATATTACATCTATGCTTTCTATATTAAAAGCATCTCTAAGAGTTTAGGAAGTTAATAGTTGTCATGATTTATGTGTTTTATGGGTTTTGAGGTATGAGGGTGGATCTATGTTTGACAGCTGCTATCTTTTTGGATGTGGCGGGTTTTGAAGTTTGCGGTGTCATATTTATTGTTTAGTTATTATTTATTAGGGTTACAAGAATTATTGCCAAAAAATGCCCCAAAGGCATGCATAAATTGTGTTACATCCTGGTTATCTTAAGACCAGTGTGAATTTTCAATTTTTCAAACAGGACTAATGAGACTAGAAGAAAGGGTTAAAGGGTATGTTAACTGTGCTCTTATACCTAAAGAAGACCCAACAGGAGTTACTTTGGTTGGGCCCAAGTGACAGAATTTTGACTCAAATGGTCAGTTTTGGGGCCATGGACGAACATATATCCTTAATTACTTTATCTAAATGTGTGCCAGATTCATAAGTAACAATTCCTATTGTAACCTAATTCTTGGACACACGTCAAGCAAAAAAGTGTGGAGTAATAAATAGTAACTTTTATAGTTGATTTTCTATTATGTTATAGATTTGGATAGGATTTATTTTTTGTTTTGTTTGAAAGGGTTGACGGTGAGTATTATCAATACCAACATTTAAGTTCATAGTCACTTTTAACTGATATTGTACGAAACCTTTCTTGGAGAGTGGGAAAGTGAAGCCAATAATTGATCCCAAAGGCATTTTCCCTTTCTTTAAAACTGTCTAAGCACTTTTCCATGTTGAAACTAGAAGAGTTATAGGAAACCGGTCATATATCCAATCTTATGAGACAAAAAATCCGTGTAAAGTAGTAATATAAGCCAGTTAATGTATTTGATTTTCAATTACAAATTTTAACTTTGGTTATATTAATATATGAAATAACAAAAAAAAAATTTAATAAATTAAATAATTCCCTCCATATCCTTAACAGGAAGGTGCCGAGCATGTAAAGTGTCTATGGTTGATTTTATATAATGGTTAGATATTCTTTTATGTAATTTAGATTTTCCTCAATTTATGTTATTTAAAAAACACAAATAATGGAATTTAAAATGTTTAAATCCTATCATACAATCCATAACATAAATCTCTCTTTAATTTTATAATGTAACTAGTATCTTGTGCATGAACAAAGAAGGAGGTCCTTTGCCCCTTTGAAAGCCTCCTCATATTTCAATAACTTAATGCCTGACATAATGCAAAGTAGTGCAAAAGAAATGTCAAGTAAAACTGATAAAAGCCAACCTGGTAACCACATAGGCCTTTCATTTCAAAACAAAAAGCAAAATGGTTGCTAAACCTGGATTAATATTTACTTAAACCTAGCAAAGCACCCACTGACTCAAACAAAAAACTAAACACAGGTTCATGGGCGGATGTAGTTGGAGGTAATTGACCCACCAACTTCAAAAACTATATTTCCCAAGTTAAATTTTACAAGAATACCATAGTATTAATTTCCCAATTAAGCCAATTAATAGCATATTTCACTTTAAAAACAAATTCTGAATTCCTTGTTAATGGTCATAACTCATAAGTTACAAAAGTTTTCAAGCAATGGCTTTTTCATTGCACTAAGAAATTGAAATTAGTCGCATATGGAATACTTTATCTACACATAGTTTTCAGCTTACATTAAGTTATAAAAGGTTTAGTTAGTCACCTCAAACTTTGCTAATAAAATTCACTTTAAAAACTAACAGAAATGAACCCCCTAAGGATTCTTCATTTTCAGATGACCATATCATATTCCACACCTAAAACTTAAATTAATTTGTTCATAATTTCTTCTCAATTTCTCATCTCCACTAAATTTCTCCTCAGAATCTTCACAGTTATATAAATTTCCAAGAAAGTCGAAAATAAACAAAAAGAACACTACCGAAACAATTACTAATTCTATCAACAAAGAAAAATTAGGGGGAAAAAACTTTCCTGATTTATCATTAAAAAGATTCGACCAAACATAAAAAGAAATCAAAATACCTCAAACACGGAACCGTAAGTTCGCTGTGGTACTTTTTCAAATCACGAGAAAGCAAAGCAAATTCAAGTTGTTCTTCTATTCAACTCAGTCCTCACGCTTCACTACCAGCAAAAAAAACCTACGAAAAAGATAACAAATTCAAACAAAAATCTAAACCGCGTAAACATTTAAAACATAAAAAAAAAAAAGAACACGAAGGGAGGAGAAATTGACCAGTGAAATGAAAAACGAGAAAAAGGTTGGAATTGAAGGGAATTGGAGAGGTAGTGAAGAGGGTGGAAGGGTAAAGTCGGTAGATCACAGAAAGTTTCAGAGACTTCAGGAGCAGGCAAAGAAAGAAAGTTGTACCCTTTTAGGGTTTGGAAGGGGACGAACGACGAAGACTAACAAAAATCTTCTCCTATTTTTTTAACCACTTTCAGGCTTTGGGTGCAGTTTCTCCGTGTCTCGTGGTGTTTTATCACTTCATTTGTTTTTTTTTTTTTTAATTCCTTCGGGGAGTCCAAGAGCGAGGCTTGGGTGTTTCCACGCCTTTGCGGAATGTTTTGTCTCAACTCTGAACGCAGTCGAAAGGACGCGGGCCCCCAATTTTTTTTTCATTTTAATATATGTTTTTAGCTTAATTTTTTAAAATATATAATATAAAAAATTTTTGTTGCTTGAATGAATGTGATGCAAATGTAGTAATTTTTGTCAAATAATTTATCATGTATTTTATACAAAATGATAAATTTAATTACTATAAATTTATTTATATAAATCATATTTGTCGTAAAAATTTTTGGATTAGTAGATAAATTTAAAAACAAATAGATCTGTCATTAATATTTTTTATTTAAATGTAATTGATCACCTATTAAAATTTATTTTTTAATAAAATTTTAAAATTAATTAAAATTTATTAAAAATATATTTTGGATTTGTAAAAATAGTTTAGATTCAAGAATCGATTATGCATGAAAAAAATTATCACTTCCATAATATTTGTTAAAAATAGTACTAATTAATTATGTGTATTCTTTAATTTTGATAAAAAAAAATCTTAATTTTGGGCATTTAAAAATAATTCCCTTAACTTCCTTTATCAATTCATTTTCATTTCCACTTTTATTATTTTATCATTTTTTAATTATTATTTTTTTAAAAAAATTAATTCATTTTATTTAAGAAAAATAAATAAGATCTTTGTTATAAAAAAAAACTCTTAAAATATTTTAGTACGTTGATAATATTAAAAAGAATTTTTCTCACTTGCACTATATTTGGATTGATGGGAGGGGAAGGAAAAGAAAAGAAAGGACAATGAAAGTAAGTAATAGAAATAGAAACACATTTCTTTTGTTTGGATAACTTTTAATTTAAAAGAAAAAAAAAGAAGTGAAAACTTAATAACCTTTGGTTTCTCTTATTGTTCTCATTTTTTTAATACTCTAATTTGGAAGAAAAGTTAAGGAAAGGAAAGTTAAAAAAAAAATTTACAAAAAAACTATTATATCCATATTTTTATTATGATATTATATTTGATTATATAATTGACACTTCTTACAAAAAGAATTTTTTTTATAAGTATATTATATAACATCATAGTTTATACATATTTTATGATTTTTCAAGTTTTAACAACAAAATAAGCCAAATTATTCTCATAATAAATTAAAAAGCTAAATTAAATACACAATTAAGAGTAAATCAATAACTAATTAATATATCTTACAGTATTAAACTGCTCAATTTTTTAAAATCCCTATTTGAAATTTATTAAAATCCCGTTCTCAGATACTTGCATCTATTTTTCAAAAATCAAATAATATGCAACGCGATGTAAATGATTAATATTAATGTGTTTGTTTTATTTATCCTTTTTAAAAAATATTTATTGATTTTGTTTAGAAAAAAAAGGAAATTTTTTATTATATTGAAAATTTTTATAAATACTCTAATACGCTGGTAGTATTTAAAAAATCTTCTCATCTAGAGATTTCTTAGGCATCACTACTCAAATTACCTTAAAATCTTATCATCGGATAAATTTTTGTTTCCTTTTCTATTTGCTAGTAATCCTTTTTTAGAACTAATATATATATATATATATATGTATATACATAAAATTTTGTTTATTAACTTTTCAAATTTTTATTATTTATTATTTTTTGCATTTTTAGTAGGAGAAAAAGGACTTTTATTTTATTGAAAATTTTTATAAATACTCCGATGTTGATAGTATTTAAAAAATACTTTTTCACGTAAAGATTTTGTATGAATCACTATATAGATTTTTTTAGAATCTCATCATTGGATAAAATTTCCTTTACCTCTTTTATTATTATTAATTTTAGTTAAACTTTTTTTATTTTATAGAAAAATAAGGAAATTTTTATTATTATTTTATTTATTTTTTTTCATTTTTCATTTTATTTTTAAAGAAAAATTTTATTTTAATTTTTCAATGTAACTTAAAATTATAAAAAATTTAAACTTTATTTTTATACATAAAAAATATTTTGGAACATTAAAAAAAATAATAATAATATAATAATAAGATAAAAAAATACAAAAAAAAATCGAACCAATCAATAGTCTATAAAGGCTCGTGAGCGATTCAATGGTCTCGAGTGATTTTCTGTGGTTCAAGCTGGTTCAGATCCGGTCCAATATCAGTTCAATGAAATCGATCAAAGTCTGATCAACTACAACATTTTCAAGTCGGGTTGGGTATCAGCTTAATGTGGATCATTTCCCTTCTCAAAACATTGTCATTTTTTTTGTCTTTTTTTTTAGCTATAAAACTAGCCTTTTTTTTTTTCTCAAATCATTTCCCTTTTCTATTAAAAAAAAAACTTAAGCTCTTTGAAAGCTCGTCAAAAAAACCTCAAGACCAAATTCTAGCTAAAAAATGTTGCGTTTTGTTGGTTGCCGTCGTTGATGCCATTCACTTCCATCAGTTGCCGAAAAACTCAAGAAAAAAAACCAAAAAATTATTTTCAATATCCTTTACACTGTCTTGAGCCCCATTTCATGAAAAACTCTTTCCAAAAGCCCAACCCAACCTAGCTTTCAAAGTTTTCAGCCAAAAGCTTTTTTTTTTTGTTTTCTAGTTTGTTTTATTTTTTGTTTGATCTTGGTGCTAGTTCCCTGTTCTAGGGATATGGGTTTTGATTTTGTTTTTTTTTTTTTAAGGATTAAGAACAATTTTTTTGGGCTATTTCTTTTTGCAAAGGTTCTACTTGTTTTACTTCCTCCATTTTTTTTTTTGTATTTAAGTCTAAATTTATAGAGCTAGGAAGAGAGATTTATCAAATTTTGAGGCATTTTCAAAAAGTCACTGATAGCCTCTATGCTGTCAAGGTGGCTACCGTGTTTGAGGTTGAAATTTTTGTCTAGTTTCCAAGCATTTTCACCTTATTTTAGCCTAAATCCATATTTCTACCATGGATGGTGATGGCAAACATAACCAAATATGGTAAGGTGTATTTAGAAAGAGGAGTGGTAGGGTGTAACTAGAAAGGGGAGATTGCGGGTAAGGGGTAGGGTGGCTGCCACGGACAGGCTCGTGGGTTACTAGTGCCGTGCACAGCACCCATAATCACAGACTCCCTCTTTTTTTAATTAATTAATTGATTTTTTTTTTTTTTTTGCTTCTTTTAATTAAGCCTAGGCCTTTACCTGGACTTAGCCTGCAATTTTGGGCCAAAGATAAATTTTGGTTTTAAACTCAACTTACATAAATTTTGGACTTAGAATTCGATTGAAATTGAGGTCTCTTTCAAATAATTCAAACAAAACTAAATATCTACAATATTTTTTAATTTTTATGAATTCTAAAATATAATCCAATTTTAAAATGATAATTTCACTTATACCAACTGTATAATTCACTTTTTTGATTCAAACAAAAATGATTATACAATATATTTTTTATGATATTATGATAATCAAATTTGAATACGAAGATAAATAAGGTATTAATTATATAATGTTATAAATAATTTAAAATTTATTTTCAATAACTTTATATGGTAAATAAAATTTGATATAAATCATATGATAAGCTAATAATCACTTCATTTATAATTAAATCATATACTTTTTATAAAATTGTTACATTTTTCCATGCAAAAATTGTCAAATATGAATATTTCATTATCATTTTAAAAATAACTAGTGTGAGAGCTCAGCTTCACTTAATGTGTTAAATTATTTTATAATATTTTATTTATCTAAAATAATTTAATATAAACTTAATATTGTTAATTGTAGAAAGGTCTATTAAAATAATTGACAACAAAATATTGGTTAAATATAAAACTAAATAGAAAACGTTAAATTTTTTGGAGAAAAGAAAAATAGGCCTAAATTGTTACTAAGCAGATCTTGATTTGAAAGTTTGCTTTAGATAAATCCAGCTTTTGCCAAGCTTGAAATACCCAACCCCTTTAGCAACAATGATTAGAACAAAAAAAGAGTTACTCTACCAACATTATGGCCAAGAATATGAAATCATATTCTCACCTTGAATTGATGGAAAATTAGAGCCTTTTGGTGTGATGTCATCAAATGCAAGTTCAATAATATTCTCAAGATAAACTTTTGACACTGTATTCTTGCAAGCAACAAAAAGGCATTCAAGTATAAATTTTCTCATTTTATATTGCTAATTAGATGCTTATTTCCTAATGCCCACATACTGCCAAACATTAGACTAATAAGTAAGGCTTCTATCCCTCCAAAGAACACTGTTTGCAGACACTAACCACCGAACAAACCCATGACATGTACATAAATTGCTAGGTTGAGCATCAGCCTCAATAACCTGGAAAAGATTCAGAATTTGAGCAATAGGCTAAAAGTTCTCATAATCTGCAAGTGTAAATGTTCCACCATATTAGTGAGAATACCTTAAAAACTTGAAGGGCTATGGATGCCTGCATCTGAACTTGATCAACAACTACAAGAATTAAAACTTTCCCTAGATGAACCTGTAGAACTGTAAAAACTACAAATATAGTAGGCTAAAATAGTGTCTGTTTCTTACTTTGAACTAAACCACAGACAGAATTATTACCAGATATATGAGAAAGCTACTGCTGTCCGTTATTCTGCTATGTCAAAACAAGAATATGCTGCAAACTTCACTCCATTTCTGTTTTGAAGCTAAGAAAAATAGAATACTTTCAAAATTGTCTCAAAATCTACAGGACTCCCTATATGAGAATAATGTAAAGACATGTTTATACGGATGATCCCATCCCAACATTCTTCAGATTGGCATGTTTTGCAATCTTATATGCTTGTACTTTTGTGCGGTGTTGAAGCATCTTGCACTCTCTGTCAACCCTTTAGATAAAACAAGCTTCAATCCATCAACTCCCTCTTGCAAAGCCGTATCAATCTTGTCCAGTCCAACAACAAAAGATTAAAAATAAATAGTAATTAGGCAACGAAAATAATGCCCAAAAGTCTACTACCACATCTTCCTATCACACCACCTAAATAGATGCTCTGCCATTTATTCACTTCCTAACAGATATGTTTGAGCTCAAAAGCATTGTTACAAGTTCAGTTTTAAATTTTAAACCATGTCTTTTTTGTAAAAGCAACATTTAAAAAAGCCGGGTATGAAATTAAAGATGAAAAGGTCAAGCAATAACAGGTTGAACAACTTAAAAGAGGTTATAATAAAATACTAAAGGCCAGAAAGAACAAAACAGATAATTTGCAACAACAGATACACACCTAGGATCATGTAAATCTAAAACATTAGAATCCCTGTGTGCATGTCTGACCGGTTTCTTCCCCTAGTCTACATGGCAATAAAGAAGGCATGCTTCACATTCACAATTAGAGCGGGAAAAAACACTGGAATATCAATATGTATTAGTGTTGTCGAGAGCGCAAGGTGCACTCTAAGCATTAGGACCCTTGTATTGCCTGACACGTAAGGCACAAAAAAGGTGTTTGCCCACATGAAGTGACTAATTTTAGAAGATAATTAATATATACAGGACAAAGAAAACCGTATGTATTCTGTCTAATAAGCTAAAAATATGAGTTTGTTAATAAACATTAAAGAGTTTTCTCCATTAAACTTCAATCGAGAGTGATTTTTTCGCACCTTTCGCATGGAAAAATGCACCAAGGCACAAAAGGCGTGCCTCTGATAAAAGATGTCTCGCCTGAAGGGAAGCAAGGCACTATCTATTTTCTTTCTCTCTTTTCATTTGTTTTCTAGCAACCAACTTTCGGCTGATATGGGTCCCACAACATTGAATCAGTGGCCCTAATACCCTGCCAGTTTCATCCAGCATTGACAGCCAAGACTAGACCCAAAACCAACCTGCTAGGGCAAAAAATGTCCTCAACATGCCGGATTAGGTTAGCTGGCGCTAGATTAAATACAAAGCAGGCTGGCCACAAAGCCTTGATTTTGACATATTTGGCCAAGCCGCTGCCATCTGAGATCTGGCCAGTTAGATAAGTCTGGCAGTGGTGAGCTACTGGGAACTAGGAATAAGAAAAGAAAGGGATAAAAGAGAGGAAAACTGAAATAATGTTTTTTAATTTTAATTCATTGTCTGCTTGGACATTTAATTTATTCATAATTATTTAACTTAATATTTTGCCAACTAAAATTTTTAAGCGAATATTCCATATCCGGTAACTCTCATTGCTCGATTGTACTAAATTTAGACAATTATATTTTTGGGTAAAGTTTCTAATACAAAATCAGGTATTATACCAATACTTTTAAGAACAAGATGTGGATTCCTTAAGATAATAAGTTAATTATGGCCAAACAAGATCAAGCAGAATGTTAAATCTTACTCGTTCTCGAGCCGATGCATTAAACTTTTGCAGCAAGAATGCCTTAGGATCCATCTGACCTGGCGGCCTACCAATACCTAACAAACAAATCATAATGATTAAGCTCCTACTCAATCAAGAAATAGAGCAGCTAGGAACCAAATACATAATATTAGATTTCAAACCAACCAATTCGTAGCCGTACAAACTCTCTGTTTCCCCGAAAATGATAGATTATACTCTTCAGCCTAGTAAAAATAAGCAATAGTGAAATAATTTCTGAAAAAAAAAAGGAACAAAAACAGCAAATATGTAATTAAATAACCAAGAATAACCCACATATTGGAAACTAAGAGACCTTGAACATACACCAATATGGTGACTTCCACATGCAGAAATTTATTTCTCTTTCCCCTTCTACTTTTCTTTCCTTGAACAAGACATAGTTTTTCCCTTCATATTCACTAGAATATTGTTCTAGTATCCAAGAATATTTTGTTCATGTAGGGAATTAAGATACGTCTATTTACTTGGCAATTAAAATCTAGCTGCTTCGACTAATACCCAACACATCTAGAATGTTCAGATACCTTGCAGATAATAAACCAGTTGAAAAACTAGAATGTTTAGATTCACTAGCAAACTCAATCAAGATCGTTACAGTGAGTGTTAGAAACAGATCTTTAAGACTCATATTAATAAGTGGCAAAATCAAAATAACGCATGCAAAGTTCAGCCACAGTGGTGTCAATAACCATCAACACAAACACATGTTTGATCATTGTTGCAAATGACAAGCATTATTTCATTTAAAAAGAAATATATTGTTTTTGCAGCACTAATTTAGGTCCAATAGCACAAAAATCTCAGCAGTAATCAATTTAGGAATTACAAAAATAGCTCAAACAGTATTTAGACATTAAGTGTCTGGTGCTGAGAACAGGGCAGAACTTGACTGCCAAGCAGCTTGTTACTGTCTAGCTACCCTATAGTTTTTTGGAGGAGATAGTTGAAACCCACAAGACCAACACTAAACTTGGGCATAGAATAGATTGATGGCAAAGACCTACGATCAAAACTAATTACCACAAAAGAGAGAACTACTTTAACAAATGACCTTTGAGGGCTTTTTCACTTCATATAGTTCACCTAATGATAACCACACACATCAACTTCTTTGCCCCCTTTTGTTCCTTTCTTTCAACCACTTTTGTGCACACATCAGCTTTTTTGCCCCCTATTGTTCCTTTCTTTCAACCACTTGTTTAGGGAAGCAAATGTTTAACAAAAATTAGTATAGTTGAAACTTGTTCATGCAGCAACAAAGCATTTTGTAAACGATAAGAAGAGAACTCAAGAAATTCAATGTAACTTTATACATAATGTTTTCTTCAGGCAAAGTATATAATATTCCTCGTTCATACCCATTATGGCTCCCATGACCTCCTTTGTCTTGAAGACGAAGCACTCCGCATGGTAAGTCCATGTCATCATGAAACTACAACAGGAAAGCATAACACGAGCAACCATAAGATGTTATCAATTATCTTTTGTGATACACAAAACTGTAATGTACTATCAAAATCTAAGATAGACATGAATGCCAGGCAATGGAAAAATTACCACAATTACTCGATTAAGCGGTAGCTTGTAGTAAGCTGCAAGGGGTCCAGTCTGCAATTAAATGGCAAAAAAGAAAGTTATGCTAAGTATGATGCCCTTTAATGAAATTTCACACATCTATCATCAATTTACAGTTGCAACTTTTTTACCACAAAATAATGACACTTATCCTCCAAAGAAAAGATACATAACTGATCTACCAATATCCTCACCACACTAACTTAACAAGTTTCCGCAACTAATACAGATTTACAAGGAAAAGAGGAGATTTCAGTTTCCCCCAACATTGCCACCATCCACCCACCCACCCTTTTTCTTTTCTTTCTAAATAACTAAGCCCATAAAATCACATTCTTTACTTCAAATGTTTAACCCATAAAAGTTGACATCAGTTTTAGAAAGAGATGAATCGTTGTTAGCCATTTCAAACTTAACTTTTAACAGTATCTGCTAACTGTTAACATCAGTGATTTTATTGCCCGTCAAGCATTGAAGTGATGCTCACTTATTCAATAACATAATGGAATAACTTTCATGCTTCCAAATAAGATCTTACTAGGTGAATTATTTGTAATTTCCCCAAACTCAATGATAATAATAATTAAAAAAAAAAGACACACATAAAAGGTCTAATGGCATAGTGATGCACCAAATAAGCCATGAATGCCACAGCTCAAAATAAGGAAGCTCCTCCTTAGAAAAAAAAAATAACAACATGATTGCCAAGATATATGCTACAGATCCATCAAACATTAGATATCAGTGAAAGGCTGAAAATAGCCAAATACTTTTTGAAATTTTCATGCAAAGTTGAATGCCAAATATGCCAAATGAACCAAACAACAAGCCTCCTGTCTCTATAGTAAATAAAGATTGTAACACTCAGATGTTATCCATTAAAAAAATCAAAAGGCGAAAAAATATAAGTAATTCAAGCTATCAATCAAAACAATGGAAAATAAGACTGTTGGTTGAAGGCATTTTTATAAGTTATGAGCAGTAGATTATCCTTGATTCCGGCCCCGTTTTATAAGTTACAAACCATTTTTATTGGTTTAAGGCATTTTTTATTGTTTCTTCACATTATGAAAGAAAAAAAAAAGTAAATTAACAGTACCAAATAAATTTATTCATTATTAAATGGTTCTGTAGTATGATTTCAAGAAATGAATAATTGCATGAATTGAAAAGCTTTAAATATGCCAAACTAAGAAATATTGTGTCCAAATCACTCACAGATTCCCCACTCAAGTTCATGTAAGTCTGAGGCTTTGCAAGAAGAATGGGTGCATCATCCACAAAACCTGAAAGAATAAGGTCATTACAGAGCAATGAGATTCCGCATACATAAAAGTATAGAAAAATCTTTTCTTTTCTTTAAAAAAAAAATGAAGAAGATGACAGGCCTTGTCCAAAGATAGCCTTGCAGTTAAGGGTATTCATTTCAATTCCTTGAGCTTCAGCAAATGTGTCAATCATCTCCAAACCCACCTGCTTCAAGTAATTTGGGGAGTTAAATCTTGTTAACAATGTTAAAGAAACAGGATTATGAAATACCTGGTATGCTAATGTGCCATACATTATGTCTAGTTCCTTTATATTTATCGCCAGGGTTGCCTAAGCCCACAAACAGCCAAGGCCGTGGGGCACCACTATAAAAGCAACGCCTAGTAATCATCCTCTGTTCAGTTCATGGAAATGGAAATTACCCTGCCAAAAAGAAGAAACTCTGCAGCTTGTTTAGATGAACAAGAGAAATATACGGGAAAATCAATGAAATTCAACTCAATCATCTAACCAGCCAACCATCATCCCTTGCAACTCATACAATCAAATCAAACCCCAAACTCAATCATAATCTCCCTCAACAGTTAATGAACAAATTAAATCTATAACAAACAAAGATTAAAAAGATAAATAAACGTTTTGGGTGCATTTTTTTCAAATAATTTGAAGGGGAAAAGGGGGAAGAGTGCAGAAGAGAAATAGCAACAGCGGTATCGGAAATGAGAGAATAAGTGAAATACCAGCAATGCAGTCCACTAATTTAAAACATTTGCAAGCCTTAAACTTTCACAGATAGAGAAGAAGAGATCGATACTGAAATAAGAAATAAAAAGTAAAACAAGGAAAGAGGAGAGAACAGAGAGTGGCCGGCATAAAAAGCCATCCCCACGTGAAAGCAATAGTGAGTTAGAGGAAAAGAGGGTGAAACAAACTGTATCCCAAAAAAATGAGTTGAAACAAATCTGAAACAAAGTAATGTTGGAGTATTTAGTTACCGATAATTCTATATTATTTAGAGGTGTAATTGAGTTGAGTGGTCAAACACTGCAAAGCACAAGCTCGAGCTTATCTGAAAACTCACAGTTTAAAGCTCTACTCGAAGTCGATTATCATTTTTCTTGCTCAAGTTTGACATGAGATATAAATCAAGGTATTTGAGCGCACTCATTAAGGTCACAACTTAGTAAAATCTACAAGATTTTGATCATTATGCTCAATATCAAGCTCAATTAGTCATACTTGAGCTCCAGCTGCAGCTTGAATTGAGAGCTTTCACAAATACAAATATTGTATTAATTTAGATCTAATAGATAATGATATTTTTCAAGGTAACATCATAACAAAATAAAAAATACACAATCAAATCTAAAATTTTCAAAACACAAAAAATTAATGTCCCAATCTAATTAACTAAATGCAACAATAATGAGCAACATCTAGTTCAAATTATGAAAGTTACAAATTAAAGTTTTTATCCAGTAAGTCCAAATACTTATACACCACCAAATGCCTTCCATGTATATGTCACATAAATATGTTTTTAGATGCATTATTGCCCCCACATTATTTTGCACCAAACCAACATGAACAAAAATAATTAATAAGCTAAGAAACTCAAGTATAATCAATATAACCCTAAAAATATAATTAAGATGAAACTTGAAAATAATAGAGCATCCTAAAACATCAAGAAATATAATAATCATGCAAAATTTACATATTGGAACACAATGAAAATAATAAGATGTTTAAAATAAAACCATTAGGATATGAGGTGCTCAAAAATTCAAGTTTGCATTTCCTTAACATTAGATAAAAGGTGCCACAAGGGAGACTACTATTATTTTAAAGTGTTGTGACTAAAAAAGAGCAGATCCATTAGGAAAGGCTAAATGTTGAATTTAGGACAAAATATTTAGTTTGTTGCTCACATCAAGAGCAAACTTATTTTTCGCTTCAAATCAAGATTCTAATTTTTCAGAATTTGACAAATAAGGAATTTTTTGGATAGAAATTAGCAATGAATGAAAAATCCTATTAAAATGTGTGAAAAAGTTGAAATAATAGGATGACAAGTAATTTTTAGTCACGAGCAATCACATGTGGCAAAATTAATTTTTTAAATATAATAATTATTTTTCATTTTTCTAATTGGGACAATGGTTTTAAAAAAATGAAAACCGGGCAAGGGTGAGCAATCAATCACTGTGACTTGGACTATAATTTTCAATTTGATGGAAGTGGAAATAAGAGAGATCCAAGCTTGATTAAGCTCAAGCAAAATCCAAATCCTCCTATGTCTTTCTAGGTAAACAACCAAGTAAATTTCACAAAAACCTCTCCTTATTATTGGAGGAGAGCATAACCAAAAAATAAACAAACCATGGGATTTAAGGAAAAGAAAGATATTTAAAATTTTCAGCCAAGGCAATAAGGATGGGAAGAAGGGAGGATTTGAAGTTAGGGATTTTGAAGGGGAAGAGCTTGGAGGTGGGTGGGAGCAGAAAATGGAACCCTTGGAAAAGTTAGAGGTTAGGGCTTGAAAGTGGTCCTCATGCATGTGTTTAAGAAGTAAGTTTGGTTGCTCATCCCTCAATACATATTTTATTTAAAACTTTCGGCAGAAAAAGCAATGGCAGTTCAAAGATTCGAAGATTTTTGGTCTTGGAGATTTAAGTTTTTGACAAAGGTTTGGGGATTTTGCTTTGGTAAGGAAAATGATATTTTTTAAAAAATTTTGAAAAAAAATTAAAGAAAATGAAGTGGCTGAAATATGAAGAACAAGATGACCAAATTTCAGAGGAATTTAGAGCAAACCTTGAAAACTAGAAGAACCAGTTAAACAAATACTTTTTGCTTGTATTTTCTTTTTGATTAAATTTCTTAATTTTTAATTTATTTTTTATTAAAAAGTCAAAGTATTTTCCACGTAAGATAACACTTTGGGCACTGGCATCCATGGTCACAAGTTCTGTTGGCATTATTAAAGTTCATAACTCCATTTTCATTCAAAAAAATCCTGATATGTAAGTTAAGAATAAATTAAAATCCTAATTTGGAACAAATAATAGGTTTGGTCCTAATGTGAGCAATAGATCAATCGTTTAGTATTAAACTGAGCATTTAGCCATTAGGAAATGGCTAGGACCATAAGACAAGATGGTGCCTGGCTAACAATCTAAGTAATCCATTCAACTATGAGTTAATAGAGCGCAGTTTTAGAAATCAATATTGTTTTTCTGAATGTTAATTATTGGGTGGGGAGAAAGATAAAATAGCTTTCAACTATTGTTTAATACATGAAAATTAGGTCCCTAAGTAAAGACAGGCACCACTAACACAAGACACTGCCTGATTAACAACATGATGTAATCTGTATAGTTTCTCAGCTAAAAGTTTCAATTTTCAGCCCAGTAAGTTCAAAGTTCAAAACCCTTTCTGTGTTACATCTTCTAAAATATAACATTTTCATTCTTCTTCATTATCCTGCAACTGGTTTTCACTGTAATGCTTCAGTTCATTCTTCTTCTTTTTTTTCAGAATCTTTCTTGTTGGATTTTTCTCTTTTTTGTCAGTAATTTTTTAACTTATCTATTAGCAAAGAAAATGCTTCAATGCATTTGGCTTTTAGCTTGCACACAGATTGCTTTCCATTTGCTCTGTTTCATTCTTTCTTTTAGTTTTCTGTCATTTTTAAGATCTTAATCTTCACTGTTTCATTCCATTTACCGATTTATCCAACTAAAAAACATATCTTCTATTTCTCCTGAGAAACATTCACAGTTTTACACTACCAAAAATGTTAGTTTACTTACCAATATAATTCTTTTAACTATTTCTCCTGAGAACCCAGCACCGAGCTTCCTGCACGAAGAAGAAAAAAAAAAGAGTTAGTTTAAAAAAAAAAAGAGTCAGAACACTAAAAGTTATAGTTTCACCGAAACTTCCCTTAGCAGATCTGGGGATTTCGGAATTCTTTTGGTGAAAAGGACCTCAGATCTAAACTCAGGAGGTCGAAAGGAATATTTTGGTGTTTTAAGGATTTTCCCGACAACGGCGAAGGCGGTTGGTGACCGGCGACGGCACTGGCGACGACGGAGGATTGGCCGGCCGGCCCTATGTGTTTGAAAAAAAAAAGAAAGGAAGAAGGGGTTTTTTTTTTTGGAGGAAGGAAAGAATGAGTGAAAAAAAAAATTTTGAACCTTTTATATAACCGTCAGAACCAAAACGACGTCGTTTCATTAAAGGTCCAAAACGACGTCGTTTACACAAATGAGGATCCGCGCGCTCACCCGCGACCCGACCCTGGATCCGCGCACGCGACCCGAAGACCCGCTTTTCCATCGGCCCTGACCGGTCCATATGAACCGGACCAGACCGCCCAGACCGAATCAGACCGCGCTTGAACCGCTGTCAGACTCGAGCCGAACCGCCGAACCGAACCGCTCGTTGACCGGACCGTTGACCGGCCCGGTTCAGGTAAAAAAAATTTTTTGAATTTTTTTTATATATTATTTTATTAATATTTATGCATATAAAAATGATTATATTTGTTAGATTAAATGATGAAATTGTGGTTAATTTTCTTTATGTAATTATGTTAATTTTTAAAATAAACTTTAAAAATAATAATATAAAAATAAGTTTAATAATAATAATAAACTAACAAAATGTAGGAAAATGAAATTTTAATCCGACGATTAGATTTAAAGGTATTCCTTGTAGTGATGCCTATGAAATCTCTAGGTGAGAAGATTTTTTGTAAAATATTACCAGTGTATTGGAATATTTATAGAAAATCTTCAATATAATAAAATTTTCATTTTTATAATAATAAATAAAAATTGATTAATATATTAAAATATATGTAATAAAAATAGGAAGAAAAGAAATTTAATCCAATGATGGGATTCTAAAAGTATTCCGAGTATAGATGCTTTAAGAAATCTCTAGGTGAGAAGATTTTTTGTAAAATATTACCAGCGTATTGGAATATTTATAGAAAATCTTCAATATAATTAAATTCCTTTTTCTTCAAAATTTTAATTTTAATAAAAATTAATTAACAAATTAATAAAATTTTTGAAAAAGATGTGTGCATCAACATGTTATTATTTGCATTGCATACATAACATAATTTTTTACGAAAAGTAAATTTAAACCTCCCAAAGATGAGATTCTAAAAGTATTTCGAGTAGAGATGCTTTAAGAAATCTCTAGGTGAGAAAGAGTTCTTTTAATGTTACCAACGTACTGGAACATTTTAAGAATTGTTTCAATAAAAAGGTTTTAATTTATTTTTCTCGAGAATATTTTTTAAAAAACATGATATTTTCTTACGAAAAATAAATTCGAGCCTCCGAGGATGAGATTATAAGGTATTCCGAGAAGCGATGCCTAAGAAATCTTTAGGTGAGAAAAAATTCTTCTAATGTTACCAACGTATTGGAACATTTTAAGAATTATTTCAATAAAAAGGTTTTGATTTATTTTTCTCGAGAATAATTTTTTTTAATAAATAAAAAATCAAAGAAATTATTTTTCGAATATTGAAAATAAGACTGTTTGTATCAAAATCAAAGGATAACACATTGTTAATTGGTACCGTTTTAACGGACGTTGTGGGGGTGCTAATCATTTCCCACGCGTAACCGACTCCCGAACCCAGACTGTTTCGTAGATCGTAAAATTATCTTTTTAATAAATTTTAATTAATTTTAAGATTTCATTAAAAAGATATGTTTTAATAGGTGGCCAATCGCACCTAGCCAAAAAAGATTGGTGGCGACTCCGTTAGTTTTTTATTTCGTTTCCAAATTCGTCGGGCGGACGTAAAACCGTTACGACAGCTTGGCGACTCCGCTGAGGAAGCCTTTTGTTTTCGAGAGTCAGGCCAAAATTAACTACTTGTTATCCTCAAATTTTGATTTAAACAGTCTTAATCAATTTTTTAAATTTTTATTTTTCATTTTTAGTAAAAAAGGTAAAAAAAAAAAAAAACCAAACAAAACAAAACAAATCAACAATAAAAAGCAAATCAAAAAAAATTCACACACTTTTCTTTTACTATGCCTTTTATGTTTTATTTTTTCTGTATATATTGCTCTCAATAAATTAGGATATATTTGCACACAATAGCACGATGCATCTCATACATGAGCTCTATATCCGGGGTCCATCCTTTATAGGAGGAAGTAAAGTACCTATTGCTCTCGTGAAGTGATAACCTCCGTAATGGCAAGCAAAATACTTCCACTCGAATTGAACCCTTTCCGTTTGTAACCTGTAATGGGTGAGGATCGGGATGCCTTACTAATCCATCATGGATGACAGTGAGGAACAATTTGGAACCTTTAGACCCTGTCAATCCAAACCCAACATATAATAAGCCTAGGAAAACCAGCCTTATGTAGAGCCTCGTCCACCTTTTTGTAGAAAATACCCAAGAATAAAAGTTGTGTATAACACGAAACAAAACAAAACAAAATAAACAAAAAATCTCAAAACATAAAAACAAAACAAAAAAAAACAAAAAAATGTTTTCTTTTCTTAAACCACATCCTCACACTAATTCAATTTTGTTTTTTTTTTACATTAATCATATCATACAGTTTTACATCGAGATATTTGCTTTAGGACATTTCTTCCAAGAAGTTTTCATGGATCTCATAGAACTACAGATTTGCTCATCCTCAGTCAGTGTGCCATGTGAGTCGTATAATGAAGTGCATGTTTGGCTGAAAGAAGCTCAACAAAAGAACGGAGATTGTTTGCCTACCAGTTATGTATCTGAGTTACCCGAAAAAGTGCATTTAGATCTCACACAGAATGATTTAAAAGAGTTAGCTGCTGTCTGGGGTCAGTTAAGTGAGGAAAGAAAAGAAAGCTTTTACAAAAAAGTATGGGCAGATTGCATCCCTCATTTCAGTAGTGATCAATGAACAGCTGGTCAAAGCAGCTATACAATTTTGGGATCCATCTTATAGATGCTTCACTTTTAATCAGGAAGATTTGGTGCCAACTATTGAGGAGTATTCGATTTTGCTCGGGATAGAACTACAATGTCCAGATAAAGTATTTACCCGAAAGCCAAAATCAGGTTATCGTAAAAAGTTAGCCAAGCTTATGAGGGTTAAAGTAGAAACCATTGATTCCTTTGCGAAGTCTAAAGGTGAACATCTCGACATTCGTTGAGACTTTCTTCGAAACTTTATTTAGGAGCATTTGGATGATGATCAAGGTATGGATGTGTTTGCTCTAGCATTGTATAACATGGTAATTTTTTCAAAGACTTTGGGTTACATTGAGATAATCGTGGTAGACTTTTTTGAGCAAATTAAAACCCAAGCAATTAATCCCGCTCCAGCAGTCCTAATCGAAACCATCAGGTCATTGAATTTCTGTCGACGAAATGGGAAAGAACGATTCATAGGATGTGCATCTCTATTATATGTATGGATCAGAAGTCATTTCAAATGTGGGAAGAGTGCATTTTTGAAACCATATCTTCAAAATAAGGCACCACTCGAAGAGTTTTGTAAAAGCCAATGGCCGACATTAAAGACTAAGGAAGAATGGGTCATTTTCTTACGAAGGCTTACTGTGGATGAAATCGAATGGATAGCGCCTTGGATGCCTCGTGTGCCTTTGTTGTATCGTGGAGGAAATGAGCCATGGATTCCATTATTAAGGCTATGAGGCATTGTAAGTTACGCTCCATTAATGGTACTTAGGCAATTTGGTGCAAAACAGTTTGTTCTTGCTACTCATAGCCTAGTCCAAGTAGAATTCATTTATGGGGATTCGAATCCATCAAGAACCTCAAAACAGTTGATCCAAGCATGGAAGAAAACACAAAGAATGAGGTTAGGGCCTCTCATCGATAAAGTCACTTCTGATTATCAGATTTGGAAAGCAAGATGACCTAAAGATGTAATACTCCCTCCTGATGATAGCTTATATCAATTGATTAATCTTTCTGAAGAAGTGCAATTATCAGAAGTTGAGCTTGTCAAAAAGAATTAGAAGCTGAAAATAAAGAAATAAGAAGGGAAAATTTGAGACTTCGTGAGAAGGTAAGGCAATTGAAATATGAAGCGGAGATACAAGGGAGCAAATTAAAAAAAGTCATAAAAGAGCGG